TATCCATTAGCTCTCAGCTAGTCGTTGCTGGTATAATCTGATGGGTAACATGCGATTTCTTCCTGTCAGACGATTCTGGCAGTCTGGGTGCCCACGTCTCCTCCGGGCCTGGCACCAACTTAGGTTGTCGAATGAGGGGCCAAAAGCTATTTTCCGCTGAACTGCTCCTCTCTCTCTGAGGACGTGAAGTCTCAGGAAACCTTCGCCTTTCTCGTCGCTGGGAGAGAGGACTTCTGGTGCCTCCGTTGCCATTGACGATGTGTTGGTTGGATCCCACGCTGTTGCCAGGCGTCATTAAGACCTGATGGCAAGGATATCTCTCTCCATAAGCAAGCCACGAGAATGGCAGGGGCAATTAAAGCTCTTCTCTGCCTAATGGATAGAATGAGGCCCCAGGAGAGAGAGAGAGAGAGAGAGAGTCAGGAGTCAGAGAGGTAAAGAGAGAGAGATGAGATGGAGAGGGAAGCATTGTTCTCCAGCCTTATCTTTGATGAGGATGCGATAGAGTGCATCAGGGTGGAAGATGGGTTTGTTTCATTGTTTAGCGCAGAGTGTCTTTGTGGATTGCATCCATGCCATGCACTATATGGGTTGAGTCAGACTCTGAGCTCTGAGAGCCCTCAACGCAAGGCCATTTGTAGATTAGCTGCATCTGGCAGATCGAGAGCGTTTCCATTAGTACTTAAATTAGGAAACTTACGAGAAACGTCCTCAGAGCTCGGGTGGCGTCTCAAAACGGGAAATGTGCCAGTCTGTGTTTTGAACGCAAGGAAGTGTTCTTCTCAAAATACCCGCAATTAGGGGCTGCTGATGTAGTTGTGATTTCAGGCTGATCCAGTTTTCTCGCTCGCATTCTGCTTATAACCTATGGCTTCTTGGCTAGTCATGTAGCTAATAATGAAGAGCTCTACTGTGCATGTGCTCTGATTCTAAATGAGGACTGGAAAATGCGAGCAGCCCACACTCTCCACTCTGTGCGGTGATTGGAATTCTGGCTAGACTCTTTGCAGGCATCTGCATTACATGCGCACACACATACACGCACAAATTTGCATTACCGTCGCATTTACACCGAGTGAGTCACACCGACTGATAAGGTAGAGCAGAAGTCTAGACTCTTTGAAGCTCTTGACTAAATATACCACCATATTGAGCGGCCAAACATTTTCAAACACTGACCATTGGATTTTATTCTACAACAGACAATAGGATGCCTTAAAACACAATGGATGTAGCATACTAACATGCTGCTCTCACTATTTCTTAAATATATAGTGTGTATATTGTGCTTAGCTTGCATAGGAAACACATATGACCTACTACAATATATTTGCGAAAATTAGTAGAATACAACAATACATGTTGTGTGGATTACAGTATCCCACAGTGGTTGTGACAGAGGAACCGAAGGGGATTTACAATACCATTCAAAGTTTGGGGTTATTATTATTTTAAGCAAGGACTTGTAGATTGTTACAAAATTCTATTTTTCAATAAATCCGTTTTTTTTTTTTTTGACAAAATGTATCACAGTTTCCACAAAAATTATAAAGCAGCACAACTGTTTTCAGTATTGATAATAATAGGAAATGTTTCTTGAGCACCAATTCAGCATTTTTTAAATGATTTCTCAAGGATCATGTCACACTGAAGACTGGAGTAATGATTCTGAAAATTCAGCTCTGCATCACAGGAATTAATTACATTCTAAAATATACTCAAACAGAAAACAGTTATTTGAAATTGTAATAATATTTCACAATATTGCTGTTGCTATTACTGTACTTTGGATCAAATAAATGCTGCTTGGTGAGCATAAGAGGTGCCTTTCATAAACATTACCAACTATTACGAGAATCTTACCAACCCCAGACTTTTGAACAGTAGTGTAGGTAACAATTTTAATATCCTTTTCTTGACTCATTATTTGATCAGGCTCTAAATGTTAAGAATTTGATATGAATTATGTATCATCCTCTTGTATTTAAGAGCTGATAACAATGACAAAAATATAGCAGATGAATAACGTCTACTGTTTCTCTTACTATTTAAAAAAAAAATACAAGTTTACACTATATAATGTGCTGCGTTCAGTGCACAGTTGTAGGCAAGTATTCCATACCAAACATAGCCAACATTTTTTTAACATCAGAGAATGTGAAATGAATAATGTCTCATGACATGATTGTTTCAGGGCTCTTGTAGACATGATGCCATCTGAATTGGGGCCAGGCAACAACCAGCCAAGCAAATCTGACCGGTCACACCACATAAATCCGGACCAATCTCAGGGTCACTGACACCAGAGCGTTAACGTAACAGACAAGCATGTGTCATGAATCGACAGTAAATATGATTTCGGATTTGTACGTGCAGTGTTTTTTTGGACTGTCCGGTGGGGTGATGTTAGGCAGGGTTGAGGGGAAATTAGCTGGAGAGATTGCATGCAGAGCCTTCAGGGTTGTAGGGTCATGTCTCTCTGGCTAGGTCAGTCTGTTCCTGATGACTGGGCGTGATGCACACTCACACAAACACACATGCACACACTCTCGTGGGGGTGAAGAGGCTCACAGTGGTGCTGTGCATGTGGAGCAGTTTTTAGATGAATGGGATGTGACAACAGCCCTGCCAGGCAAATGCCTGGGCAACGTTTTTTTTTTTTCTTTTTGGGAGAGTTTGGTCTGATGCTAAAATAGTGAAGATTCTCTAGCAAGACCACTTTAACTATTTATTTTGATGCACAGTGATTGTGGTCTGCAAAATTATTTTGACATCCTGATCATTTATACTGTAAAAAAAAGATTATTTCTGTAAAATGACAGTTTCATCATTAGTTTTGTTACCATAAAAGTGAAAAAAAAAGTTAGTTAGGTAAGGAAGGTAGTTAGGTAGGGAAGGTAAAATTCATCATGTGTCTTTCTCTTTACCACCTGTGTTATTATTTTAGTCATCAGTAGCCTATGTGTTAAAGTATAAAAATTAATACTTTTATGCTAATTCGGCATAAAATTGCTTTTGGATTCACTGGTTGAATGTTTTCTTTTTTTTCTTTTCTTTTTTTTTTGTTTTTGTAAATTACAACAGTTTTGAAATGTAAAATATACAAGCTGTTTACATTTTTACTGTATTTTTTACATAATTATTCTGGCAACCACAGCTGCCAGTTTTATTTAGTAAAAACAACAGGACTTTTTTACAGTGTGCTAGTCACACTTTTCCATGAAATTAGATGCTTATAATATTCACAAAAGATGCAAGATTACCATAAAAGTATAAAAAAGTGGTCTATACAACTATTCTTGCAGTGTTCCAATTTATATAATATTTTTGTGTGAAAAAGAAAATATTTAAGTTAATTTATTGGCATTTTCCCTCCAGTGAGCTCTTGTGACCAAATCATTGAGTCATTAGCTGAACTAACAAACCGATTCAGTCTGATTCATGAACAGATCATTCATCCTGGCTTTGTGAACTAAATTAAATGATTTAAAAAAGATCTGACTCGAGAAAAAAAATAGGCGTAACTACTTTTTTCCTGAACACAAGAAAAACAGATGTCAAGATTTTCAGTAATTAAATTTGTTAAGTCATGTGCACCACTTTTTTCCCTGTTGGTGTTCCTCAGAAGAAGAAAAAAATGCCATATCGGTTCGGAACAACTTTAGGGTGAGTAAATGATGTCAAAATGTTTATTTTGGGTGAACTAATCCTTCAAAATCAAAACCTTAGCAAGCTCAGATAAACCTGAGGCTATGTCGTAACTGAAACTGTGTAACGAGTGCGACGCAGCCTGCAGGGCAGGTATGCAGGGTTCGCATGGGGAAGCGTTGCTTTTGGGTAGGACATGCTCTGAGACTGCAGACTCTTCTAAAAGAGCCCATACATCTCCCCTCAAAAGAGAGAAAGAGAGAATTAGATTTTGAAGCTGTATGTCCCACTTTATGTGAGACAGAAGGGTGTTGGGCATGAATACTAAACAGTGTTTTCCCCCAATTACAAGCAAGCTGAGCCAGATCGCGGCCACTGGGGGACAGCTGGAGCTCATATGCTTTGATTTGACCATGTGAAGTTCAGATGAGAGCTTCCCATATTGCCCCAGTGTGAGTGATTGAGCGATCTATCAACGGAAAGAGGGGCAGCATGAGAGCAAGTGCATTTTTGTGTGTGAGGCAGACGTGAGAAGGTGTTACGCACAAAGATCCATCTTTCTAAGGAAATTCGTTCAAGTCTGTATTTCTGTCATTGAAAGGTTTTCAATAGACATCTCCAGAATTTGGAGAGCACCCTTTGTGTCACTGGCCTTGGAGCTGACAAATACTTGCATGCACATGCGAATCTGTATCTGTTCCTCTCTCTCTCTCTCTCTCTCTCACACACACACACACACCCAAGTGCACCAACAGCACACACATTAACAGGATTTGCAAGGAGCATGAGATAGAAGTGTTAGCTTGTTGACAGAGGACTGGAGCACTCAATATGTTAGTGTGTGTGTGTGTGTGGCTGAAAGACGTTTTTCTGAAAGAAAAGGCATTGTTTATATTATATTATATTACTTCATATTATGTTAGATTACTTCATATTAAACAAGCACCTCAGAAAAGAATAAAGTGACTTTGTTTCTTTATTTTAAAAAGTTCAAATAAAAACTCCCCAGCGATTTACCTTTTGTACACTGTTCACTGTAAGGCAGCATAAAGACTCTCATATTTCTCTCAAAACAGAAAAAAATAAATATAGGTGACTTTATTCCTTATGAATGGAGCATGTTCCAAAACTTTAAAACGCTGCTCCTGTCACTTATTATATTTTAAAACAAAAGCAGAATGACAGATTTTTGCTTGTTTTTTTTCCCCTCGCTGTGATACTGTGATAATGGAGGCCCTGAATAGCTTCAGACATCTGTATGTCTTTTCTTATAAGAATACCGCATATCAGTTTGCAGATTTAACACGACTGCAGTTCATGACAAATGATGGTGCATTCTTTTCCTTTAACAGAAAATGAGTTTTGAGGAACAGCTTTGAGGGACACACAGCGGACGATTCTGCCTAATCGCACCACACAGGAGGCGCTCCTCAGAAAACACATCTGTCCCACCATCAACCAGTAAATCTCAGGTAATACGCTTTACTTTTTGTTTGTTCTGGGCAATAAAGCTGCATTTTTACATTACTGTTTAAAAGTTTGGAATCAGGACAGTTTTTTGTTTTTTTTTGGGAAGAATACTTTTATTCAGTAAAAATGCATTAAATTTATCAAAAGTGAAAGTGAAGACATGTCTAACAGATTTCAAACAAACACTATTCTTTTGAACTTTCTATTCGTCAAAAAAAACCCTGAAAAAAAGTATCACAGGTTCCACAAAAATATTAAACAACTGTATTTAACATTAACAGATAATAATATTATTAAATGTTTCTTAAGCAACATATCAGCATATTAGAATGATTTCTGAAGGATCATATGACACTGAATCTTGGGGTAATGACTGCTGAGGATCCAGCTTTGCCATCACAGGAATAGACTGCATTTTAAAATATGTTAAAATAGAAAACAGTTGTTTTACATTTTAATAATGTGTTTACAATATTGTTTTTATTTTTAAAAAAAATCTTACTGACTTCAAACTTTTGAATGATAGTGCATGTTGAATCATATTTTGTTGGCTTTGTCCTGCTTTGTTTCCTGAAAAAAAAAACGTCATTATGTATAAACCATTCTAGCACTAGAAGACTAGGGGTGTGTCTCAATCTGCTCCTTGGTACAGTACTAAGTACAGTACACTAACCAGGGAGTTGTTTTTGCTGTCCTGTTGTCAAAATCATTCCAGTGCACATTCATTCCCAGAATGCACCGAGCATCAAATACTTACTATATTCATGTGTCCTAAAGTCTCTCAAGTCATAAGAAAAGAGCCTTTTTTTTTTTTTTTTGCTTTTAATGATCTTTCATCCCTAATGAGCAAGAGAAGCAATCTTGCCAACTTTAAAGTATTACAGAAGAATTAAAGTACTTACAAGATTTGTTGTTGTTTATGTGTTTTAATGCCTTAATGCCATAAATAATGTATGTACAATATAAATTTTTCTTGATTAAAAAAAAAATCAAGACAAGTGCATACAGTATTTTGTAATAACACCGTAAGATGATCAGGTAAGATGAGGTAAGATGATGTTTTCTAGTGTCCAGTGGATCAAGGCCCATGCAAGTGCCCAAATTTGTGTTCATTATAAGCTGATTCACAACTAGGGTGCAGAATAAGACAAAGAATAGCTTTATAGCATACAATATAAACAGTGATGCATTATGGCCACATGACCAATAGTTATCCGTGGTTCACAGTCTGTATTGTTCATAATAAACATATTCTTTTATCATCTATGATCTGACTCTCATGCAGTTCAGTGCAGTTCGTAACCATCCTTGCTGCAGACATGCTTTTACAGTTGCTAGTAGATGGAGGTCAGGCTAATTGCTGCTTCTTTTCTCCAGATGGAGGTGGATGCAGCCGAGAAGCGTCATCGAACACGATCTAAAGGTGTGCGAGGTACAACGCACTCACATGGTATTAGCTACAGTCTCAACCTACGGTCAAATCCATTTCCCCACTTTCAATCCATAACTGAGTCTTTTATTGCCTTTCACGAATTATCACTGACGTCAGTAGGGATGAACATGGACTATTGATTAGACAGGTGAACCAGAAGAGCCCAGAAAATTAGTCTGCTCATAAAAATATCATTTCATTGTGTGATGAAGCTCATGTTGAAATGTTTCCCCACTGATTGTTCTCGCTTTTATTTGATTTTTTGCAGTTGCCGTGGAGGCTGCACAAGAGCTGTTCAGGTCAGTCTGCATACAGTGTAGGAATCATTCACTTAAAGTGAATAGAGTTTGCAACCAATTTACTTGAATAATGTGATGTATTTATGAGCTAAACAGGATATTTAACTGGAAAAAAATCCAAATGTCATTCATTTCAAAAAGAAAGTCGTTTTAGAGGTGAGGCAAGTTTAATATACACTCCTGTTCAAAAGTTTGGGGTCTGTAAGAGTTTTTAATGTGTTTGAAAGAAGTTTTTTATGTTCATCAAAGCTACATTTATTTATTTTTAAGTACAGTAAAATAATACAGTAATACTGTGAAATAGTATTGCAATTTAAAATAACTGTTTTCTATTTTAATATATTATAAAATGTAATTAATTACTGGGATAGCAACGCTGAATTTTCAGCAGCCATTATTCCAGTTTTCAGTTTCACATGAGCTTTCTGAAATCATTCTATTATTCTGATTTGCTGCTCAAGAAACATTTGTTATTATTATCAATGTTGAAAACAGCTGTTGCTTAATATTTTTGTGTAATTTTTAGCATTCTCTGATAAATATAGAACAGCATTTATGTGAAACAGAAATCTTTTGTAATATTATAAATGTCTTTAGTGTCACCTTTAATCAATTTAATGCATCCTTGCTGAATAAAAATATTACTTTCTTAAAATTGTACTTCCCAAACTTTTGAACGTTAGTTTAATGCATTTTTTTTTTTTTTAGAGTTTTAAGCTTTTATCATTTGAAGATCAGAAATGTGTGGTAAATATGCTTGATTTTGATTTCATGTTGGTTTTCAAGAAGCGTGGGATTGTTTTTACATGTCTAATTTATAGTTACCTAGTACAAAGAAGTGACAAACATTTTTTTTTAAAACGGGAATTGGACTTTCTTGAGGCGGTTTGCTCACAGATGCTATCTCACCTTGCAATTTCTGTCTTTAAAGACTAAAACAGGTGTATGATGCAATGTGCATTTCTGTTCAAGGTGGCATCTAAGTGTAATTTTGCTAATTGATATTTTTCGATGTGATTTATCTAATATGGCAAGTACTACAGGCAGAACCTATAAATAGACCTTTCATTGTAATTGCCTTCAGTGAGAACATATGATTCTCCCAATTAGTATTAGTAAATATCCCTGAACTCCTAATGAAATCATGTATCATAATGAGAGTGAATGGCCTGTTTTTCCTCCAGGCCAGTGAGTCGTTTTACTCATATCTGCCCGTCACTTTTTCCCCTGCATATCTTTCCCTTAAGCACAATTTACAGGCCTCCTAAATGGCAGCATTTTCCTCATTAAGAATGGTTTAACACCCACGCTGTTGTTTAAAAAGGCTCTTTTTATATTTTCTGGCTACGTGTCCAATTACAATGACAGCAGCAGAGACACAAGGGTGTGTGACTGTGGGAGTGTGGTATGACCGCTTTCCAGAGGCGGCTCTCTACTATGTCATCTTTATTATGGTATCAGACTGAGAGGAGAAGTGAAATTCCCTCTATTGTCTCTCTCTCTCTCCTTCCCAATCATCAGGGCAATCTGCTTCATCAGCAGGTCCAGGCCTGTAGCTGCAGGCATCTTTAACACCAGTTACACTCACTGATAGGTCACCTGCTTGATCAGACACAGATCCCTAGCCAACATCATCAAGGGGAGATGCAACTAGGGAGAGACTAGACATGTTGTTCAATTTTTCAATCTTTTGCTCAATTTTAAAACATGCACAATTGACTTCAATTTCAAGACTAAATGCAGTGTTGGCGAAACTACTCGGAAGCTTGCTTTCCAAACTACATGCGAATCAAAATTTGAAGCAAGTTGTCTGCACTCCACTCTTTTCCAAAAAGTAGTTTTGTAGTTACACTACAAACTAGAAACAGAAAGTCAATATCTGTCACAATGAAGATACTTAAGAGTAACATTGTTTTTAGTATATAACCTCCGATTATATTATTGATTACTTCATCAGAGAAATATTTACAAAAAAAACAAAACGAAAATACAGACAAATTTTCATAATAATGAACATCAGGATGCAAAGCTGAATTTTCAGCATCATTTCTTTAGTGTCACATGATCCTTCAGAAACCATTCTAATTTGCTGACTGGATGCTGTAGAAACATTTCTTATTATTATCAATTTTTAAAATGTTGCTGCTTACATTTTTTTCAGGAACATTTGATGGAAAGTTCAAAAGAACTGCATTTATTTGAAATTTATTGAAATCTGTTGTAACATTATAAAATATTTTAATGTCACTTTTAATTATTTTTCTGTGTCCTTGCTAAATAAAAAGTATTTGAAAAAATGTTACTGACCCCAAACCTTTGAATGGTAGTGTATAAATACTTCCGTTCAATAATACAAATATTACAAAAGTGTATGTTTTCTAGTTTATTTTGTGTGAATGCACAATTCAAGGATGCTGCTCACAAATGTGACTTTTGATAGACACAGAAATACGACTGCCAATAAAAGTAAATGCTTAATGAATACTTTAGGCAATCAGTGACACTGTAACTAATGTGGGTAGTTTTATGTTAATGACTAGGATACTGGTTTGCTGCTCTGACCCCGAGCTCGAGCGGGGCAGGAGTTCTACACTTGGATATTTTCCCTCATGGCTTTTAACTGGCCATGGATCTAAATGGAGCAGCCAGAGAGCGATATACAATATGAAATATGAAATATGGAGCCTGGTGAGTCATCGGCCTGGAGGACACTGGGAGCTCTCTAAATCTGTAATGAAGGCTGATGTGCCACGGTTCAAACATAGTCAGCAAGAACGAGCGTATGTGTGTGTCTGTGTGCGTATGTGTGACGTCAGTCTTGTATTAATTATTTCTCTCATCTGCAGCTGTCCCACACCTGGATGTGATGGTAGTGGACATGTCAGCGGCAAATACGCCAGACACAGGAGGTAAGAACCAACCTCTCATTCATATGAATGTGTGCCCAGCCATGAAAGTCTCTTTAAGGCTGGGAGAATGAAAGCTCTTAGCCACTTACAGAAAAGCTGAAGACCCATAGCGAAATTAAGTCAGTTGAATTTGAATAAGGCCTACTTTCTTTTCTTTATATACATCCTTTTACCAGCCAAAAGTTGTGAAAGTGCAGTTAAAAGATGTGAAACTGCAATGAAACAGAGCTGGCATTTACTAAAGTGAAGCGTTTTAACAAAGTATGATATGTTTTCTGGATTGTAAAGAATTAAATAATTTAATGGAATGGTTTACTTCAGTACTTACAGTACATTACTAGCCCTCAGTATTAGCATTTTTTGCTTGGACTGTTAGCTTGCAACACAGCTTTACCCCTTTGAATGAAGCTGCTGTAGACTTAAAGAGATAGATCAATCAAAAATGAATCTGTATGATTCAAGGCTATAGGCTTTTATTCACATTTAGCACTGATCAACTCACATACATAGAGCTCATTAAGTATGAGGTTAAAAGAACCAGTGTTTGTTCTCACATGTCAAGTTGAGCATCCTTTACCATACTTGATGAGCTCTATGTATGTATTATATGTTGTTTATCAAAACGATTGTGTCTCTTTTAAAGACTTGGATTAAGGCGCCTCGATTCATATGGGTTTGTTTTTTCTCATTATGAACTTGTTGAACTGATAAAATTTTGGTAAGGCTATAGGCTTTTATTCACATTTAGCACTGATCAACTCACATACATAGAGCTCATTAAGTATGAGGTTAAAAGAACCAGTGTTTGTTCTCACATGTCAAGTTGAGCATCCTTTACCATATTTGATGAGCTCTATGTATGTATTATATGTTGTTTATCAAAACGATTGTGTCTCTTCTGAAGACTTGGATTAAGGCGCCTCGATTCATATGGGTTTGTTTTTTCTCATTATGAACTTGTTGAACTGATAAAATTTTGGTGGAATGGACTTTCAGGTGGAAGGACAGAAATCTCCTAGGTTTTATTTAAAATATCTTTTACGTTTCAAAGATGAACAAAAGTCTTATGGGTTTGGCGCAACGAAGGTGAGTAAATGAAGACAGAATTTTCATTTTTGGGTGAACTGTCCCTTTAAAAACAGATATAAATGGACAATGGGTCTGTTGCTAACTCTCATTAGCATACATCAGGATTACATGGAGGCTATCTGATGATAGGCGCGACATCATTAATATTGTAATCAGCTTGTCAAGTGTCTAGCAAGATTGTGCTGTTTGTTTCTTTGACAAAAAGCCTTTTTGAGGACAAATTGTGCAAGCAATCCAAATGGCACAGTATCGCTAACAGGCAACTTGCGTTAATTAATGTGTATACTTTAACACTGATATAAGTTGAGCAATTTAAATATTTAGCTCATTATTGCACTAGCACCAGTTTCTTCGCATACAAAGATAATAACCTCTGATTTGACAACTGCTGTCAAAGTCACTCTCAGTCTGTTCAACTTCCATGTTTAACAGTCTCTCCTCTTTATGCTATTTACTGTACCTCAAAAGAAAGATACAAAACAAGAAAGGCAGAACAGAAAAGATTGATGGATACGACTACTGTGTCACCTCATCAGCCAAGCCCTGTGAACCACCAACCAGAATTGCATTTCTGCAACAGACAAATGGTACCTCCAGCAGGCCTCTCACTGAAAAGGCAGAGAGAGGGTCGAGAGAGTGATGAATTACCCCCAAATGAGAGGGTGGGGAGAGAACGGCGCTCCGACTGTGCTGTCAGAGCATGCTAACATTTGGGGGGCATTTGTGGGAACATTGTGGGAATGGCAGGGTTGTAATGAGGACACTACGTTACCTGTGCAGGCTACGCAGCGTCTGCCGCCCTTTACCACTCCATTAAAAAGTAATAATGACAAAACAACAACAGCGTTTGTCTCCTGCGGCATACATTGGGTTATATCACAGCAGAGGTTCACACCCCTAATGTATAGCTGCTCTGATGGGGGGATGAACTGATGTAATGTATACATTGTAAGTTTATGTATTGTAATGGCTTCTCAGGGCAAAACATTATAGAAAGCTGATGTGTACATCAGCCTTTTGCGCTTCATAACACACACACATCTCACAAAAATGTGAAAAAAAATTTAACTTCAGGGGTATGACAGCTTCTTACTGGGGTAGTACTCTTAAAGGGACAATTTTGTACATTATTTACCCCTAAAATGTTCATAGTAGTACCTTAAGGGTGCACATTACTATTCTAAGGTACTAATATGCACCTTTTAAGGGTAGATAAGGTACAAAGTTGTCCCTTCAAGGATACTGTCCTACTGACAAGCTGTTGTACCCTTGAAGGTAAAAAATGTTTTGCATATTTTCCTGACAGTCTGTGTAAGGGATTTATTTTGTAATAAATCACTGGCTCATTATATGAGTCTCACCAAATAGGTGAACATGAAATATTCATTTGAATTAAAGTCATATTGTAATTCTTCCTGTATATTATTGTAATGCTTTTGCTAAAATAAAAATAGTACAAAACAATTGGCCTAGCAATAAAACCGGAAAAAATAAAAATAAAAATACCGCAACAACATTATAGTAACATTAAAGTCGCAATGAAACGGAAGTAGCGACAGATCTATTGCAATTAACATCCGAGTGTCTGTGGAGTGATTCGAAAAACATGAAAGTAGTGCTGGTTTCAGTTACCCAGATTATTGACCTAATATGCAACGCTATAGACAACAGTGGATATTAGTAAACAAAGTGTTTGCAGTGTTTAATTAAAACTGTAAGATTGCTAAAGGTGCAGCCACATTAACAAAATTTCGACGCAATTTCACAGGTCTGTTGTTAATAGTGTGCAATGCAAGAAGCACAACTCACAAAGAAGTCACTTTCAAACCAAGCAGCTTTCTGTTGGTCAACGGTCCTCATTGACTTCCATAGTATGGAAAAAAATACTATACAAGTCAGTGGGGACCAACTGAATGTAAACTATCCCTTTAACTCATTTATTGCATTTAATAAATATTAGAAGCAATCAGTAAATATAAATTACGTGACATTTGCCCAGTAGTTGAAAAGCAAAGTGGACACTAAAGTGGGCAAATTAAGTTCTTAAAATATAATTATTAAGCCCAAAAAGTGGTAAGACAAATTTAGAAATGCAAAGTTCCTCATAATTATAATGGCTGCTGCACTGGACCGTTGGTGTTGCATTCATGTTAAAATGTTAGAAATAACATAAAAGGTATCCTTTAATGTGCCATTTTCTCGTCATCTAAAAATACCCACCTTTACACCCTCCGTGTTGCATACTCTTCCTAAAGACATGTTATCTGCACATTCTCCATTTTAATGTATCCCTTTTAGCAAACGCAGAGACTCGTAATAAGAGGATGTGTCAGTACAGGTGTGACTGCTATGATTTGAACAGGGTTTAGTAATTGCTTTGTGCACATCATGTTTAGTGCCCCTTTTCTCTCTCTTTCTCTTTCTTTCTTTCTCTCCTCCTCCTCCTCTCCATCTGTGACTCTCTCTCGTTCCACTTTCCTATTTTCTATTCCTCTCCGCGCTCCTCCTCCTTGTTATCTTCCCCACATCCTGGCTCTTTGTTCCTCTACCTTTCCCTTACTCCTTCTGTGGCTCTCTTTCCATCCCTCTTTCCAGTCTTCTTTCTCCTCCTCCCTCTTTCCCTCCCTTTCTGATGGATGACTCACATAGGCTGAAGCCCAGGGCTGTATAATTCAGGGCTTGACAGGTAGCACTCACTAAAAGAATGGGAACTGAGCCAAGAGCTGGTGGCAGCGGCCAGAGAATGGTATAGCCGTATGCTTGCTCTCGCTCTCGCTCTCGCTCTCTCCCTCGTTTTTTTCCCATCAATATAACATCCTGCCTGCTTTCCCTGCTCTATACAAGTCTGGTCTCTCCTCCTTTGTGGTAGCCACAGTACACAGATTTTAATGCCAGCCTCTTTCATCCACCATTGTATTTTCTCCCACCAGAAAAACAAAGAGACAATGTAGATGTGGTGTTTTGTAAGAGAATATGTGAAGTGTGAAAGGCCAACACATGGCTAAGGATGGAAAAAGCATGTTGTACTAAAGCTTGTGGGAGAGACCATGAAAACCTGCACAATTCATGCATTCAACTGAAGGATAAGCATATATTTCTGATAATAAGCAACATATCTTGAGGAGTCAGTTAATTATTTTTTAGAAATGAGGCAATGAGGAAAAAAAACAGCTCTCAAAGCGTAAAGTTTGATTCAGCTGGGACACTGTTGTTTGTTTTCACTGAGAAATGGTCTGAATGACTGTTGAGAAAGGAACATTAATGAGTTACGCAGTTCAACTTTGCTCTCAAACAGCTGTTTGGTTGTGCCACAAATTGTCATTCATAAAAATTCACAGTGGTTAAAACAAAACAGATGTGTTTAAATGCCAAAAGATGTTTGAATCGAAGAGGGACTACCTTAACAGCTTCGAAATGATCAGAATACATCAAATGTCTGCTGTTTTGAAAGTACCATAGCATATTTTTAGAGCTGCCATCTCCATTTTTAGTTTGGTTTTTTTTTTGTACTGGGAATAGTGCCACTTTCAAAATTTGCAGTAACAAAGTATTCTGAGGTCAAAAAATATGAGTCTCTGCAACGGTTACTTAAGAACCACTCACATGTAATACGCTATTTGCACTAATGGAGTGTTTTATCAACATTAAAGTCTTTTGGCTTGAATGGAAGTCAATGGAACTACGACCACAGCCATTCGATTGTTGAGACAGAGCTGCTGATGGATCCCTTTGTCTTTTCCCTTCTCAAGAGTTTATTGAGATTTAGCATGATCGATGCTTACAGACGGTGTTCATTTATAGCCTTAGGCCATAATTTACACCTTCGTTCTATGTAGCATGGAGAAATCATATTTGTGTGCCGTTAACTCACCAGCAGCATGCAAACAGATGGGCTCTGGACTGTGTAGGCG